TCAAAACATACCAGGGAAATACAAATGAAAAGAAGACCGAGATCAAAATATTACCAGGTGGCTGCTGCCTGACAGTAAAATCAACTAGCTGGACATTAAGTACCTTTCACTCTCAGGTTTACCCTAATGCTCCTGAGCAGGGGATCACCAAAGATGCCACAACAGAAGAGAACAGAAAGGCGAAGGGTCATGCACAGGGTTCACCAAATGCAAATGCAATCCTTAAAACAGGCTTTTACATACCTGGTAGCTCCTTCCACAACATGCCTTAGTAGATATAAGAAGAGAGGAAAGAAGGAAGTCAACTATCAGGGTCTTGGTTCCCCAAACCAACCAGAAGCAGAAAGAAAGCTATACAAGATTTAACTGTGGACTTAACGGTTTGAGTGTGGAACCATCTTCATCCATCCTTGGCTCAGTCCCCATGCCAAGGCTGTGAGGACTCTGTCCAGAGGCCTGTGACAGGAGACAGCACCAGGAGGGTCCCTCTCTCCTCCTATAACACAGGCATTTGTGCCTCCCCAGTTTCAGTAAACCTAAAATGGTTTTCCAAAATGGAGTAAGATTGACATTTACAAACTTGAGAAAAACATAAGGCATATTTACAAGAGAAAGCTGGGATGTTAGAATCTAACTGCCTTCTTTAGGGAGAAGTTGCCACTCAAAGACTCTGTTTAGACAGTTGCATTAAAAAAAAAACCTCCACCATCCGAAATATTCTACAACGCCAGTTTTTCTCTTTTCCCAATATGCTGTTTACTGAAGGAATCATCACATGTCCACCTGGGCTTTTAATCACAAAATAAAGGAAGGTGGCTTATGTAGGGCACATTTTCACCAGAAGTAGTAGGTGTCAGGATAGAAGGTATAAGAGATGGAGAAAGTGCAGGGCGTCTCTGAGTGGTGGAAAAGAGATGAACATTCGGAGTCTAAAGATGACTGGAAAAAAGTGAAGCCCAGCAGAAGGGAGAAGTCAACTGGCTGAAAAAGCCAAGAAGTCCTTATAATAGTCTCACCTATTTGACTCTTTTTGCCACACCCAAAACGGGAGGACCAATGTAACCGGCTTATTAACTGACGATCCCCACAAATCTTTTATAAGAAAATGAAAAAGGTTTTGGAAGGACAAGGTAAAGCAAGCACGTTAAATCTGGCTCTTCTTCTCCTGCTTTCAATTACATGCCTCTTGATCTTTCGTCCTGATCTTTGTCCAAGGGCATGTGTGTCCTGCACTGCAATTCCCCAAGGCCCTGCTGTCACCTGCTCTGGCAGTTTTGACTCCAGTGTTCTTTCCCAACATGCCTTGCTCTGATCATTCTGTTCGCACCCAGCTCTTACCTGGCACTAGAATGTGCATGTCTGGTTACAGGTGTCTGCTCTGACTTCTAATATGGTTCCCTGGGTCAAGGCCTGCAAGCAAGGAACTAACCAGAAGAACAGACAACAGAGCACACTGTACCCTCAAACCACTTTAAAGGTCCAGTTTCTCTCCCACACTGGTAATCCATCTAAAGCCCAGCCTTTTCCAGTTCTGAAGGTGGTCCTGCCTGCCTTTCCGCACAGAATGGGAGGCACACACCTAGACGGGGGAAAACAGATGCCCACCTACCCCTGCCCCCAACATTCACTCACCTCCATCAAGCTGTGGAGGCAGATTTAGTAAGCCACCAGGAACAGAAGAGAACTGCATAGCCTAAGCCTTGACCAAAAAGCCAAGCGACTTTATTAATTGTAATTACAAACCTCTCCATAAACAGAAGTTAAATGAAGCATTTCATGCCAACTCTATCTTAGAGATAACATTGGAGACAGGTCTAGAAGCTGAATGCATGGGTGGGAGGCAGATGAATACTAAAATACTTTCGGATTTCAGTCCAGTTGCTCAGCATGTTTGAAATGAAATGAGCATTAGCAGCAACGTTTGCAGACAAAGGCTCCAAAGCCAACATATTCCCCAGAAAATGCAATGAAATACTACAGAAGATGAAGCACTACAAGACCACAAATTAATTTTTGATTCGGAAAAGGAGAAGAAAAAAACAATGCAAGGGTTGGAAAGCAAAGAGACTCGAAGCTGGAACAATGCGCAGGGATGCTTGGTATGCTGTGGGGAATCTGCGCCTCCCTGCCCGGTGAACATTTAAAGGAAAGCTTGACAGAATTTCACTTTAATGAGATTTTGATTTCCATCAACCCCGCCTGGTGCTCCTCAGTGATAACCGTTATGTTTTTATCAGTGGGAGTCAGGCTGCTATGGCTGCTATCACCTCCAGGGTCCCGAGATTCTAAACAAACATATTAGGTGGTGACACTACTGGGGTCACCATATTCTCTCATTCCACTAGCTTGAGATTCTGGAATTCTGTTTTAATTGCAGGCAACTATGATGTTTTGGATGCAGGAAGTAATTTAATGTTTTTCTCCACTGTGTGACCTAGATTTAAAAGACACATGCAGAACATTTTAAAACTTAAGGGGCTATGTTATATGGAATATAACTTCTAAAAAGGTTAAGAAGACAAGGAAATAAAATAACCATTGTGATCTTCATACTCCCTCTAGTCTCCAACCTTCAGTCAAGTTCCTTGATATGAATGGCTGAAAGGAAGGAAGAAAGGACAAACGGCAGGGAAGACATGCAGGGGGCAGCACCACACGCAGCATAATGTCAGGGACACTGCTTGGTCTCTCCTCCTCCCAAATAGTTCCCACTTCAGCCTGTCACCACCTCTGAAATTCCCACCTTAAGCTTTGTCCCTCGAGGCCCTTAAAAGCATCAGAGACCCAATGAAAATTAGGAAAAAAAATCAGAAAATTTGCTAGAAACCAGCTCTGAAGAAATATTTAACAGACTGATTTTAGGAACAAGAAAATGGTTCAGGGGCTGGCCCCATGGCTGAGTGGTTAAGTTCGCATGCTCCGCTTCAGTGACCCAGAGTTCGCCAGTTCAGATCCTGGGAGTGGACCTACACACCACTCATCAAGTGATGCAGTGGCGGCATCTCACATAGAAGAACTAGAAGGACCCACAACTAGGATATACAACCATGTGCTGGGGCTTTGGGGAGAAAAACAAAAAAAGAAAAGAAAATGGTTCAAGCTTATACTTACCAGCGAAAGATTCTTGGAATGAGCCCATTAGGTTGCAGAGGCCAGGAGTTATGGTACAGTATGAGAGATCACAGAGACCTTGAAAAGCCTCCAGTCTAGCTCTGAATTTGTGCCCACGCCCCTCGGGGTCATTGAGGCTCAGTCCAGATCAGGAAATGACAAGGAGTCTCATGGGGGCTTCAGCATCAGAGTTCCAAGTTGAGAAGGAAGGAAGAGGAAAGGGAGAAAGGCAGGTGTGGGCGCCTTCACTCTGTGCCCCAACACACACATCCGCTCCTAGACTGGATCCTGCACCAGAAATTTCTTTTTTCTTTTGTTATAAAGGACATTTACAGGGAAACTGGCAAAATTTAGTAAGGTCTGTAGATTAGGGAATAGAATTGTATTCATGTTAATTTACTGATTTTGACCATTGTACTGTCATTATAAAAGACAGTGTCCTTTTTTTAAGGAAATACGCACTGAAGTATGTAAGAGTAAAGATACGTCATGTCTGCAACATCATCAAATGTCATCATTTTGGGAGTTTGGAGGCGGCTATATGAGAATTTTTCATACTATTCTTGCAACTTTTCTAGAAGTATGAAATTATTTTTTTTAAAAAAGTAAAGAAAACAAAATAAATATCTGCCCTGAGACAATTATGATGTGAGCAAGACAGTGTCTCTGGCCCTAAGTTGGGGGACCCAGAGCCTACTGGGTGGTCTGTTCCATATTGAACAAAGAACCCCAAGAAGAGGAAGGGATCTGCCCCAGTGGGAAGAGACTGTCTCTCGCCTCAGCTCTGCCACTTAGCTGGGTGACCTTGGGCAAGTCATTTAACCGCTCTGAGCCTCAACATCTCATCCAAATGATGGGCATAATATCTGCTTTGTGAAGATTTCAGAAACTGTGTAGCAAAGGCCAACCACTGGTTGAATCAGAGCTCAGTAAATGATGAGGGGTGTTACAGAAAGAAACCCAAATTACCCAAACACAGCCTACTCTGGAAAGCTACCATCCCTTCTAATCTTAGTGAATTGGAGGGCCAACGGGACTGGAGGAAAGCATGAAATAGAGACGATCACTCATGACCTAGCCTGACTTTTCATCACCTAAGTTGTCTCGTTTCCTTAGTAAGTGAACCCTGGGCCACAAAGCTCAATGAGGCTTCCGCTAGTCTCTTAATTCTAATACTTTATAATTACGTACAACATGACCAATCTCAAGCTATTTTCACCTTTATCGTGGCATTTAATCTGCACTAATATCTTTATATCTGCTTATTGATTAAACCCTCCTCCAAAGGGATTAAGGCATCTTAACAAACTGTATTTTTATCTCTAGTTTCTTGATAAAGAACTAGAAATGCCTCTGGTACGTATCCCAGAGAAATTCTCATACAGGTCCTTGAGGGGACATGCAGGAGGATGCTGACTGCAGCGCAGTGAGCGGGGCAGAAAGCAGGAGGCCATGTGCGTGTCCATCATCAGAGGGCGTTGGGGAAAATGTAGTGGATGGACACCAAAGGCACATTAGAAATAATGGACCAGAAGCTGCAAAGCAATGGATCTTAAAAATACAACACCGAATGCAATGTCATAGTTGGAATGAGATACAGAACATGATGCCAGCAGGTCTAAAAGGAGTTCCATAGCATTCATGTAAACATGTTAGTTAAATGTCTCATAGGATGTTATATTTCTGATTGGTAAAAGACAAATATATCCCAAATTTGGTAGGGAAGGAGAGATGGCTAAATGGAGAAACATTTGGATAAAAGGACAGACGGATGGATGGATGGATGGACGGTGGCTGGATTTAAAGACGGAAGGCAATGGAGCGACACACACACACACCCTGGATGGTACTCATTTGCAAACACAGAGGAGCCCACAGGGACGTCTCACCTGAGGCCCCTGGCTTGTGGCTGGGCTGGCTCACGTGGTGCACACTCTGCTGTAGCAAGCTGAGGCACTCCCCAAGGCAGCTGAGGGTGGCAGCAGAGGTAGCTTTCAGGAGCAGCAGATCCTGGTCCAAGGCAGTGAGGGGGCCAGAACCTGGCAGAGACTCGATGGCGTGCACAAGGTTCTTCTGCTGTCCCTCCACCTGGTTCATCATCTGTCAAATGGGAAGACGGCAAGGAGGTCAGAGGCGGAAGTCCTCCTTTCAACAGGCCTGGGAGCCAGCACTTAAACCACAGGGCTGAATAAAAGTTAGAGGAAGGTGCAGAGAGAAACCATCATCACCCAGACTACAAGTGACTGAGAGTCAGCTCAGAGGGTGTTGGGGGCCATGTTAGTCCTTTGACAACACAGGCCTGGGTGAAATCCGTCTGGGTGAATCTATCCAAAAGTACACATCTACTGCTCTGATCACAAGAGAATTTTAGAACTTTAGAGATGAAAGGGTCCATTATTTTCAGACCTTCTGAAGCTAAGTCAATAGTGAATACATTAAAAGTAGAAGTCTATGTGACCCTCTGTAAGGTTCTTTGAGTATGGAAGGTAATCTGAGACAGTGGATGAACCGTGGCTTTGCCTCGGAGCAATGTTAATTCCTTGCTTTTCCTCCAACTCCTTGGCAGTCTTTCTGAAGTCCAAGAAGTGAAATCTGGGGCCGGCATTTTATGAGTGAGATCACAGTGAAGCCAGCACTGAACCATTCCACCCCAAAAAATGCTAAATACGATGTGACTTTCTTAACACCATGTAAGATGCCAGGAGGGAGAGAAAACCCAGGAATTCTAGAGCCAGCACTACTCCATGGCTGAAGCTATGACAACCCAAAATAACCATATTTTGTGACCTGGCTTCAACTCATCAACTACAGATATGCAGTAGTCTAATTGTATCTTTGAACTGACAAATCAAGGAGAAAGGAACTCAAGAACTAGAAAAGGACTTTACTGGTTACCTTGCGACAGACATTCATCCCCCTCATGTTTTACAGCTTCTCTCACTAAACAAGCTGATGTTCATCAAGGGCAGGTCTAGCAAAGAAACAGTCGCTCTGAAAGAGGAGGAGCTAAAGCAACCAGTCCAAGGTCCCAGGGCTGGTCAGCATCAGATGCAGGAACCAACTCCTGGTCTCCAGACTCCCATCCACTGTTCTCTAAGCCTCCCCCACAAAAGCCATCCTTAATTTGGAGCAGTATCTCCTGCTTTGTCACTGTCACCCTCAGAGGATCCTTGTTACCATCATGATGTCACCAGCTGGGGAGAAGCATTAATTCTGTAAGGACCACGGGACTTGGACACAGAACTCTTTCTATGGTCAGCCTTATTTTCCTATTGAAAACAAACACCTGCTATTTTCTATCATTCCATCTAGTTGTTTGCTTTAAAAAAAGGCTCATCCCTTGCAATCCTACTCACCAAAATAGGTGTCATTACCTCAAAAAGATTTTTTTTAAAAAAATCAATGCTAAACATATTGCCCTGACATGGTTGGGAGCACTCTCACCTCCATGAGCACACCCATCCTTTGGCCATGCAAATTACTTTCTGCAGATTTCAGAGTTTATACCTAGTCATTCTAACTCCTAAAATAGCACCTCAATCGGTATTCATTTCTCCTTCAGGTCTTCCCTTAAAAGTCACCTTCTCAGGAAAGCTTCTTGAACCACATAATTTAAAATTGCATCTCCAGCGCAACCCTTGGGCCTCCTATCCTCCTCACCAACTTATTTTTCTCCACCACATTCCAACCTAACTTGTAATTTACTTATTTATTAAGTTCGTTTGAGCTAGTGTGAAAGTAGGGATCATTAATTCCATGCTGTTCACTGATGTATCCCAAATACAGTAAATATCTGTGGAATGAATGAACGAATCCCCTCTTTCACTCTTCTCTCACTGAGGTGCAGGAGAATCTATTTATGACACAGTCTACAGAAATCATTATACTCAATTAGTGTAATACGGCTGAAGATTTAGTAAATGGTAACATCTCCATTATCAGTTTACGTTTGTCAAGAAAAACTGCCAAGTTCTTAAATTTAACTTCAAACAAGATAAAATGTTGATGTATTCTTTGACAGTCAACTATATGTAGAACTGCTAACAGTTACAGAGAAGTAGATTTCAAGCTATTTGTCATGGTCAGCATTTCTGTAAATTCCTATTATAAAATGTTGTCTTAGAAAAATTATGTGTTGAAAGGGAAGAAGAAAATATGATGATGAAACATATAATACATTATGTCTTGGCTATTAAGGATGATGCCATAACACTTAAGAGAAAAGGTAAGAACAATCAAGCCATTAACTATATGGAATACACTCGTTTTTAATCAATGAAAAGAACTGTATTCCAATTATATAGTATAGGTAAAATACTTCTAATTTCACAAGCGTAAAATATTATGTAAATCTCAGGCAATAAAAACACAAAATTGACTTAAAGAATCTTCTACTCATGCCCAGAGATGGAATCCACATATCTGCTCTCTAAAAAGCATTCAGCAGTATTTGAAAGCCTACCACCAGTAACAGAGGCAGCACGGCCTGCTAGAGGAGGCATCGGAACCAGCAGTGGGGTATAGGTTTGACACTTACAATGACTGGAGAAGTACTGGCACTGAGTGGGAGGGGGGATGGGGTGCTAAAGGCCCCATAAGTCAGGGCACAGCTCCATGCAAGAACTTTCCTGCTCAAAATGCCAAGAGCGCCCCCTTGAGTAACCCTGTGCTAGAGACACATTGCTAACCAGGCCCTTGATGGATTTCAACATCTTTCTTGGTAAACTGAGCACTAAAAATAAACCGAGCCTAGCACAGTGCTTGATACACAGTAGACACCTCCTAAAGATTTATTTTCTCCCCTTTTTCCATGGGATGTGAAACAGAACTGTCGTCTTTAATGACACAATCAATGCCAATCTTCACCTTACATTAGCTTCATCAGGCTCCAAAAGAAACTGAATGAGCCCTAAAAGAAATGCAGGATTCCCAGCCTCAGAGCTGTACATCACAGTTATTACTGCTCTAACATTTCTAAGACTAGGAGGCAGTGATGAAGAAGAGTCTTCATCAGACTTTGGAAGAACAAGTTTTAGCTATTTCCATATCTAATTTTAATTAAGGGCACATATGAGAAGATGAATGTGGCACTGAAGAGCTGTAGGCAATGAGAATACCAACAGCAAATTCTTAAAGCAGCTCGCTCTTCCCTTCAAGGTTCCTGCGGGCTCATCAACAGAACAGCACAGCACAACCATCGATGAGCCGACTCGCCTACCGCTCGCTACCAGCCTTTGAAAACGTTGAATCACTTACTTTAATTACTTAAGTTTCAAATCAGAGCTCTAAACACTTCTGAAGCACATCAACATTAATCATTTGTGGGTCTTAAGAAAAAAAAGAATGCACAAGTTTCATTTCTTTCAGGCATTTGGCTTCCACAATCAGCGGCTTTACCATCTTGTAACACAGGTGCAAAGTGGGGCCCCAAACGAAATTTCAGAGATCCACCCCCTGAAAATGTCAACTCTGAGGCTGTGAAACTGACTAAATATAGGTCAAGTTGCACCTCACAGATAAGCAAACTTCACAAAGAGGGAAAAAATTCGACAGCCCATTTCTCACAGCACAAACAATGGCATACGCATTGCAAAATCAAATCATAGGAGTTAATGCTAATAAAATCAGCGGCTGCAGATTTTATTTTATTATTTTATTTCAGTGAAACTGAAACCAAGATGCAAAGATCAAAACCCAAAGACATCCAGCTCAACAAGATTAGGTCTAGCCATGGGGCCGGCCCGGTGGCACAGTGGTTAAGTGCACACATTCCACTTTGGCAGCCTGGAGTTCGCTGGTTCGGATCCCGGGTACAGACATGGCACCGCTCATCAAGCCATGCTGTGGTAGACGTCCCACATATAAAGCAGAGGAAGATGGGCACGGATGTTAGCTCAGGGCCAGTCTTCCTCAGCAAAAAGAGGAGGATTGGCAGCAGATGTTAGCTCAGGGCTAATCTTCCTCAAAAAAAAAAAAAAGTGACGGTGAGGGGCGGGCCCCATGGCCAAGTGGTTGGGTTCATGCGCTTAGCTTCTGCGGCCCAGGGTTTTGCCAGTTTGGATCCTGGGCGCAGACATGGCACTACTCATCAAGCCATGCTGAGGTGGCATCCCACATGCCACAACTAGAAGGACCCACAACTAAAAATATACAACTATGTACCAGGGGGCTTTGGGGAGAAAAACGAAAAAGTAAAAATCTTAAAAAAAAAAAAAAAAAAGATTAGGTCTAGCCAAAAAGAGAATGAAGGGGAATGAAGGGGACAGCAAAGGGACGGGGTGTCGTTTGCTTTCACTGTTTCAGACTGTTCTGAGCTGCAAACTTTGGCGCAGGTTTTGAGGAGCGCCTGAAAGGTCAAAGTCTTCACAGGCCGGACATCAGCAAATACCAGCTCAGTCACTCATCCAATAATAACCAAAGGATCAGCATCAAGCGCCTCCTGAGCACAGAGTTCTCGTCCTAAAGTAACCAGGGCTGCTTGCCTTGGTGGGCAGAGCCTCCTGGGCTCAGGGTCCCCGGGGTCTTCGGGAACTCAATCCATCTTGCCTGGAAGTAGACGAAAGAATCTGACGCCAACTTCAAGGTGGCCTTGGTTTGGCAGTTCTCCTTAGCCTGGAGGAATTCTGGAGTCTGTTCTAAGTCTGTGTCAGGGATCAGGCCTTGGCTAACTTAGGCGTTTTTCCACCTGGGCAAAGTCCTCAGCTAGGCTTAAAAGCCACGCTTCAAGGATCTTTAGAACCAAAATTCTCACATATACACACTCACACACACACAAAGCTTACCATCTCCATTGATGTAGAAGATTTACTATCCCACTATCCTTATTAGCATTAATATTCCAGGAGACTCCCACCCCAGAAATGATTTGATAGCTCATTACAGAAACTTCCTGAAACATCCATCAACTCTTTCACGAAAACCATCAAAAGGCAGTTTGCACCCTAAAATTCTTTAAATGCTTTGCCTCAAAATCCTTGCCTTGTTTGCACCACCCCTGAACTGTCCTATCTTGATCTTTACAGGATCCTGATGAAGTCTCTGTATCATGAATCAAACTTCTAATTCTCAGTAGGTTCTCCGCTTGCCCTCCCCTCTCTGAG